CCAGTGGGTAAGACTCCAAGCTCCCAATGCAGGGGGCCCAGATTCAATCCCTGGTCGGGGAACTAGATCCTACATGCATGCCACAACTCAGAGTCTGCAGGCCGCAACTAAGAAGTCCGCATGCCGCAACAATAAATAAATAAACAAACAAACCCATCAAAGGATAAATATAATGTCAGGTAGTGCTAAGTGCTATTAACAGACGTAGAGCAGAGTAAGAGATGGAGAGTGACTGGGGCTCCTTTAGATTCATTGGTCAGAGATCTTTCTGAAGTGGCATTAGATCAGAAAGTATTGGATGAAGTAACTAGTATGATATTTTATACAAGCATATGGATAGAAAAATACCAAAGTTCTGTAGTCCCCTTCTTAGTGAATATTACCAGCGGCTCTCTTGTCACCCAGACAAAACCAGCAAAGCATCCTATCCTAGACTTCTCCCTTACTCCCCATACCTAGTTAATCATCACAATTTTGCCACCTATATACTTATAAATTTCTTTTCTACTTGCCACTGTCTTCTCTTAGGCCCTTGTCACTTTTTGTTCTTTTTCGCTGTTTGAAAAGATATCTTAGTGCAATTTTTTGTAATAAATAATGCACAATTAAATTATATAATGCATGAGAGCTAACTTGGTGGGGCTTCCACGGGCCAAATGGGGACAATGTGAGCATGAAAATAAATGTTGATATTAATGGATGATCAGGTAGAAATCCATGAGTTCACACTGATATAAATAAAAGATTTTTTAAAAATGAGAAAGGAGAAAAGGTCTTCCTTATAGTAGAATTGCAGCTGATAAATGTGGAAAGAATGATGGAATTAGAAAAATCACAATTAGGTAGCCACTATAACAAAAACTGATTCGGCCAAAGAATCGTCAATGGCCGCTAAAACTGGGTGAAACTATCATGATAAATGGGTTATGTACACAGTTTCAAAGTACCAGACTACACAACTGTAATTACTTATTAATTACAAAGGGAAAAACAGAACTGTATAGTGGAGAAGCCCATCAGACACTGCATTAACCGTGAAGGGAACATCACCAGTAATAGGACACATGGACATCATGTGCCTCCATATGATGCACTGAGGACAGAACAGTACTTCTCTGGTATTTTTCCCAAAAATGCATAATCTAGATCTAAATATCAGGAAACAACAGAGGTTACCAAATTCAGGGGCATTCTTTAAAATAATTGTCCTGTACTCTTTAAAAATATCAAGGTCATGAAAGAAGAAAGACTGAGAAAAAACTTTGGACTACAGAAGACTAAGGTGACATGATAACCAGATTCATTTGTAATCCTGAATTGTATCCTGGACCAGAAAACAATTTTTTCCTTTTGATATTAGTTGGACAGTTGATGAAATTTGAGTGTCTGTAGATTATAGTACTGTAAAAATGTTAATTCCTGATCTTGATAATTGTATTGTGGATATAGAAGTAAATGTCCTTGTCTTTTAAGAAATACACACTGAAGTGTTTAGGGGTAAAGGGATATCATGTCCAAAGAAAATTGCAACTAGAGCCTCTTCTAGATGCTTTTTTATGGATAGAGGTCACATGACAATCTACCAGTTGTCTGACAGAGTATCCATAATAACCACGAACCCGTGTCCCCTGCATCGGCAGGCGGACTCTCACCCACTGCGCCACGAGGGAAGGCCTATTTATTTTTTTAAAGATGCAGTTTTTTTATTTTATTTTATTTTATTTATTTATTTATTTATATTTTTGGCTGTGTTGGGTCTTCGTTTCTGTGCGTGGGCTTTCTCTAGTTGCAGCGAGCGGGGGCCACTCTTCATCGCGCTGCGCGGGCCTCTCACTGTCGCGGCCTCTCGTGTTGCGGAGCACAGGCTCCAGACGCGCAGGCTCAGTAGTTGTGGCTCACGGGCCTAGTTGCTCCGCGGCATGTGGGATCTTCCCAGACCAGGGCTCGAACCCGTGTCCCCTGCATTGGCAGGCAGATTCTCAACCACTGCGCCACCAGGGAAGCCCTGGAAGCTATTATTGAGTGGACACTCTGCCAGACAACCTGTAGGTTACCATTTGAGTTACACTATTTATAAAAAACAACCTAGAAGAGAACCTAGGAAATATAATATAGGGAGATTACAAAATAACCACAGAATACAGCTTAGACAAGCTGGTAGACTATTTAAGCAGTATAAGGTTAACTGAAATTCTATGAAGGGTAGTTAGTGTAAGGTAAAATCATGCCTAACTCACCTTTAGAATGCCTGAGTGAGATATTTCAGTATGAGTACTTGGGGAAATCAGTAGATGCAGTTTATTTTGATTTTTCACAAACTTTTGATAAAGGTTCACATCTAAGACACACATTGGGGTGGGGATGTGAAATGTCAAAGGAAGGGCTGAGGTGTATAAGAGAAAAAGTAGTAAGAAAAGAAGTAATGGTAAGAACTAAATTAGGGATGGGATGCCTTGCATGGTAAGGACTTGGGATTTTATTGTGTTGCCTTTGGAGGGTTTTGAGAATGTCATCTGATTTATAGCTATAAAGGATCTGGTTGCTGTGGGAATAATAATAATAATAATAGCAGTAATAGTGCTAAGTGTTTAATCTAGAATAAATGTTGAAGGTAGAGGGAAGAGAAATTTACTGGTGATTTGCTGTGTGGTGTGAGACAGAGTCAAGGGTGACTTAAAAGTTTTTGGCTTGAGCCACTGAATGAATACATTCCTACTTCTCTCCCTGCCTTATTGTCTGTCCCGGGAGGGGGTATTTAATGGAGGTTATATTCGTAGGGCAGGAAGATTCCTTAGGTTATTGCAGTCATTCTGGAAAGATAAAAGGGTCCTGAACCTGGGCAGAGCTATACGTATGGAGAAGTATTCAGAGGGCACGGACTTAAGAGACATTTAGGAAGTAAAAATAACTACTTAGGAAAACAGTTTTGGGTATTTTAATAAAATTGAAGATAATGAAGTCGTTTTTCCCAATAACTCCACCTATTGATATGTACCCTCGGACAAGGGTTGTCTGAGGCCTGTTTTTATATAGCCCCAGAGCTAAGAATATTTCTTTTATTAATACATTTTTGAAGGATTTAAAAACGGGAATGCGTGGGTTGGATATGTTACAAAGACCATTTATGGCTCTCAAGTCCTAAAATATTTACTGTCTGTCCCTAACAGTATAAGTTTGCCAACCATGGTGTAGATCAGTGGTTTTTAAAGTGTCGTTCCTAGAGCAGCAGTAGCAGCAGCATCTGGGAACATGTTAGAAATGCAGATTCTCAGGCCTCAACATAGACTTGCTGAATCAGAAACCCTGGGAGGGGGCCCAGCATTGTGTTTTAACAGGCTCCCCAGGTGATTCTGATGCATGTTAATTTCTGAGAATCACTGCTCTAGAGAAATTTTTGTACTTGGTGAGGAATAACAGCATTGTGCATAAGAGCTTCACAGTGGAAACAGTAGAAATGTCAATCAACAGAAGAGATAAGTAAGTTGTGCCAATTAATACAAGGAGAGTATTCCATAGCATGGAGTGTAAAGGCAGACTGCTTGTGTTTGAATCCCAGCTCCAACGGAGTAGTAGCTGTGTGACCTTGGGCAAGTTAACTTGACCTCTCTAAGCCTTAGTTTCCTCCTGTGTAAAATTAGCATAAAAATCCTAACTACTTTATAGGGTTATTGTGAGGATTAAACAATTAAAACAGAAGAGTGGCTGGCACATAAGTATTAGATTTGAAGGGCAGTTTTCATGTAATGTATTATGATACTTTAAGGAAAAACATGTCAAAGTTCATTTCATAAGAGTGATAGTCTGCCCATATATTTTGCATATAACAATGTGATTAAGCAGCATAAGTTAATAGTAGTGTAGATTTTGGAGGTTCAAATGTTGCACTGCCCCGTAAACCTCAGTTTTCACACGTGAAAAATACTTTAAAGTTAGTTACTCTAAAAGAATTGTTAAGAAAACTGGTGAAATGTATATGCCTGAGTTTTGTTTCTTCTGTGGGCATTTCCTTTCCTAATTGCCTTTTATTCCTTTCACCATTTCCTCAGCCCTTCCTTCCAAAATTCCTCAGCTGTCTTGATAGTCTCTGAGAAACACTGCCAGAACTAAGGTGCAAAGTGGCTTCCTTGACTGTAAGATGTGGCTTTTTCCATGAATCAAGGTCATGAGAGTCAGTGTCTAGCGTTTTCCCAGCTATGCCCCTGCGGCCAAGTCTGGGCCTAGATCTAGGACAGGTCTGTAATCCTGATATCTCCTGGGATTTCAGCTTTTAGCTGCTTTAGCATGTAAAATGCTTAGTATGTATTTAGCAACGCCTAACGCTAAACAACACACAAAGAAACAGAACTGTTTTTTCTCTCTGTGGAGACCACGTCCTATTTTTTCTACATCCCAGTACTTAGCACCCAGTAGGCCCCATAATATAGCGCTGAACGATTTTGAACTTCGCGGTGGAGCTTAAAAACCTCCATTTCCTAGGCTGAGTTTAGGGTGCAAGCAGCTGAAACCACTGGCTGCATTTTTACTCTCGTCTAGAGCAGCAACCTGCAGACACCTAGTTAAGAGAGAAAAAAAAAATCACTAAAATTCCCTTCCTCTTAATAACATAAAAGGACCAGAAAAATCAGTCCCCAAAAGACAACGCAGAAGGCACAGCGCTGCAGCGACCCGGCTCCTGTTCGGGTGCGCTCTCGAAGGGCGAAGAGACCGGATCCTTAGGGCAGGAGAAAGGCAGCCTTCTTGTGACGTCAAATCAGCGGACTCTCGCCCCGGCTTCACGCCGGTTCCGGTTCCCCGGCTTTCCGGGCGCGAGAGTACGTGAGCGCGGCGGCGTTCTGCGCGTGCTCCGCAGAGAGACGCGAGAAGGTTGGGTCCAGCTCGCGGAGGAGATGCGTGATTGGCTGAAGCCGTGCTGGGGGGTCCCCCAGCCCTTTCGGCAGGGGTAAAACAATAAGAGGGGGCGGTGGCAAAGGGGGCGGGACGTCCGTGTTCCTTGTCGTTCGCCGCAGTGCCTGGCGCTCGGGAAGAGGTGGTTGTGAGGGGAACCAGTTCGTGGCTCTCCGGTTCCGAGGTCTGAGGTTTGTCGGAGGAGGGAGAGGGCGGCGAGCGACAACAATCTGCTGCAGCCGGTCCTCGGCGACTTTCCCGCTGACCTCCGCGCGACGTACCCGCCGCCGCTGTTGGTTGGAGGTGTGTATGGGGGCCGGGAAGGGCGGTCGGTCTGGTGGTCGGAAGGGGACATTCCAGTCGCGCGCCGCGGCTCGAGGCAACCGTCCAGTGAATGAGCTCCGGTGTCGGAGGTGTAGCTGCAGAGAGAGACGTTGTTCTTGCCGGCTGCCTACGCTGCTGTGTGTGCGAGAGAGAAGCCGAGCTTCTTCCTCAGGTGAGGGATGGGAGGCCGTGTGGGGGGTGGGGAGGTGACCGGCGCGCGTCGTGCGGACGCAGGGCTCCGAGGGCACAGGTGGGGCCGGGGTTTGTTGGAGATGAGGTGGCGAGCTAGGAAAGGGGACGCAGTTGCTCCCAAAGGCGCGCTGATGGAGGCTTCGGACGGGACATGGGGGAGTGGGCTTGCCCGATAGGATGTTTCGGGTGCGGAGCCCACCAGCCTCGTCCCAGACTCTTGCGGCTCTTATTCCCGGTTCCTTGGCAGTGGGGAGGCCGCCGCCGCCCCGCCCGTGGGGGAGGGGAAAAGAGGCTGTATCGACGGAGGCATAAGCGACGCAGATGCGAAAGTAGCGGCCTCCGGGCACCATTTCGGTGCACGAAAACAGAATCCGGCTCTGAAGGCAGCCTTCGCTTTGCTTACCCAGTACCTGGTGTTCTGCGGTCCTTGACCCTCCCCCCGCGGGTTTATCCCGAAGGAGCGGGGAAACCCGGGCTGTATATAACGTACGCCTTCTCCGTGCCCTTTTTATGTAGGCGATCTCTTGGTGACCCAGGAATAGAAGAGATGTTTGAGTGCTTTGAGGAATGGATTTCTTCCTCTTCCCCCATGTCTTCTTGGGGAGGGTGGGAAGGATAGTCAAGGGGAGGAACATAGCATCCGTATATTGTGTTAATATTGTTAGTTGAATCTGATCGAATTTTACCTGCCTCTCCAAAGGCAGATTTCTTAAGATGGCCCTGTGCCGCTTTGGGGCGAGTATAGATATGCATCTACAATTTTCCGCATAGATCAATTTTTTCCCTCCAATGTATGCCTACTTTCTTAACAGATTTTTTTTTTTTGGAGGGGCAGTACCTTTGCTCTCTTAAAAATCAAGCACCAGCAAAAACCCACAGAACCCACGTGCACCGAAGCTGGAATAATAGCAAAGTTGTGCCCTTCCCCCCCGCCCCCCACATGATTGTTGTGATAATAACTTGTGTTGAAATATTGGTTTTAACACCTGGTGCTGGTCTTCCAAATGTTAGCATTGCATGTACCTGGATCTGTGAATCATTAACTGCAGTTACGCGACCCCGTATGCTACAGGGGAAGAAGATGGGAATTCCTTGTCTGGCTCCATATTTGGCAGTTAATATAGCCTTAGGCATGTGGACAGTTTCTAAACAGTTGACCCTATTAGTATCCAGTGGTCCTTTTGATGTCCAAAATCCTGGTCTCAAAAAATAGACGGTATGATTAGTTTCAAATTCTTAGTACTGAATTATGTGTTGTTTCTCATCTTCCCATTTTCTTAAATATTTAGGATTATTCATGTGTATCCTTGTGTTATGATTTAATCACTAGAGGCTGTTTAATTCTGAAAGGTTGTCCACGAATTATAGGGAGGATAAGGACCTCAAATGGATTGTTTACTATTTAAGAGCTGTTATGGTTCAGGTTGCTGAATATTCAGGGGTTGAAATGTTTGTCAGCGGTGAACAAGCAGCAAGAGGAAAGAACCAGAATGCTTGTGGGGTGGATGGGGATCAAAAATGGAAGGAGAAGAAAAGAAGTCTTTAATAATTTGATAGTCGTATTGAGTGAGTGTTTAGTTAGCAGGTGAGTAGTTGAGTTGCTAGCAGACAGCTCTTGAGTTTGAATAGGATTGGCACTCTTGGTAGTAGGATATATTTATTATCCATATTTCATTTATGAGAGATCAAAAATGAAAATCTCCATATCAGTTACTGAAAACCTGTAAATACCCATAGTGTCTTTAGGTTAACAGTTTCCTTGTCCTGAAGAATTATTGCTGTTTGCCTGTTAATCAGGATTTTCTAGGTTGCTTTAAATAAGACTTTTTCCCACATATTTTATACTGAGTGCATATGGAGATGAGGAATGACCCCTTTACAAGGCTGGTTTTGATAGTTACAAATTAGGTTGTTTCTGAACTTAAATTCAGTAGAATTTAATTGACAAACTTGACTTAACTCTCCACTGGAAAACATTTAAGGGCTGACAGAACAGACAAGTTCTATCTCCCAGAACTCTGGAGTGGCTTCAGAAACAATAGAATCAGTTTCTTGACTGCTGTTTCTCAGCGTATTTTTAACTTAATTTCCAGATATTTTACCCTATGTTGATACACTATTGTAGTATGCTAGGATGACTGTTTTGGATTTCCTGTTATGTTACTGTTTTCTGCCTTTTGGCTTCTCCCTACAGTATCAAATAAGCTAAGTTAGACTTTAAATTTTTTTATATTCTTGCATCCCTGATGGTTCTTCATAAGCGGTGGTTGTTAAGCAGGTGTAATGAAAACGTCACTAAAGGGAGGAGACCTGGTTTCAAATCCTCTGTCTCATAACTATAACTGAGGGACCTTGAACTCCTTTCCTTCGGCTCTCAAAACATCATGGTTTCCTTTTCTGTAAATGAAGCTAATATCCTATCTATTTCACGGAGGTAGAGGAATGTGTAGTTACTTGTTAAACCTTAAAGCATAATATAAATACACGCTTTAATTTTTGTGGGGCTGCGTTTCCATTTCTTTAATGCTTGGTCACTTTTAATAGCTTCTGAACTTCAAAACTTGCCTCCTTACCTTTGGGGCCTGAGAAGAGAAAAAATCCACAGCTACCTTTTATTTCTGTGACTGGTGCTTAGATCTTGTTTGTGATGCTTTCATTCTGCGGTGTGCCACAACAAATTGAAGGTTGCTGTTCTAAATAGATACACATTGCTCTTTTTAAAAAATTTTATTTATTTTTGGCTGCATTGGGTCTTCGTTGCTGCGCGCGGCCTTTCTCTAGTTGTGGTGAGTGGGGCTTACTCTTCGTTGCGGTGCGCGGGCTTCTCCTTGCGGTGGCTTCTCTTGCTGCAGAGCACGGGCTCTAGGCGCACGGGCTTAGTTGCTCTGCGGCATGTGGGATCTTCCCGGACCAGGGCTGGAACCCGTGTCCTCTGCATTGGCAGGCGGATTATTTTTATTTTTTTTTACTTTTTGGCTGCACCCCATGGCATGTGGGATCTTAGTTCCCCGACCAGGGATCTAACCCAGGCCTCCTGCATTGGAAGGCAGAGTCTTAACCACTGAACCTCCGGGGAAGTCCCAATAGGCGGATTCTTAACCACTGTGCCACCAGGGAAGCCCTGCATTGCTCTTTCGATTGGTAAAGTCATTCTAAACAAAGACCATCTGGAATTTCCAAAGGTTTCAATTTTAATATGAGGTTAGCTGTCAAAAATGGATCTTACAGTCCATGGTTCAGTGAGAATGGGCCTGGGCCTGACAAGGGTGAGACCAGCCATGAGTGAGGGGCTCTAGAGAGAAAGGGGTGGGTAAGTATCCAATAGTAGAGACAAGTTGTGTCCTAGCATAGACATAGCCTTTGGTAACATAGTTTCTGGTAAGATAACTGCATCCTGTTACTAGGATCTTACTCTTTTTATAGAAAGCAAGATAAAGTACTACATCTAACTGTACAGTACTGAAAAAAATTTTTGTAGAGTTTTTTCTGTTTTTCAAAATGTCATTTTCTTTTGGTTTCTTGACTTTTCTTTTTAAGACAACATGGTATCTCAACTTCTCAGCAGTTTTCATTTTGCACGTTCTTTTTCCAGTTATTAAAATAGCCACCAAATTGTGACATGAAATTTCATGTAAGTAATTTGCAATAAGTGAAATCCTACTCACCTCCCCCCCCAGCTGCTTGAGCCAAAGATACTGCAGTTCTCATCACTCGTTATAGATGTCGGTCAGAACATTCCAGGCTCCTCAAAGAGTGAATTTTTGATTGTGCATTTTGATGCTTATATATAGTGGTGGTGGTTGTAGCCAGGTGTTCAGGGTTAACAGTTTAGTATAACTAGAGTTTATGATCCTATGTAGATATATCTATTTTATTACTTAATATAGAATGGAGGTGCCATTTCAGAGATTCCTAAGATTAAAAAGAATTAACGGAATACAAAATTACTTTACTTGGATAACCTTCTCTTTTGTATTGTAATCTGCTCTGATAATTATTTTGCAGTAGTAGATCTAAGGAATTAATTTCATTTTCTTGTTCAAGTGCACACATTGCCTTCATATTATTGAAACCATATCTTAGTTGCAAATTTTATACTGCTTTTTTTCCTATGGTTTTATAGTCTTTGACAATATTTTAATGATTGCATATGAACTGATGTTTCACAGTTGGGGTTCAGTGTATTGTATTTTTGCTTGTAAGACAGTTACTTTTTTGTTTTTAAGACCGTTAATTTAATATTAGGTTATCAGAAAAAAATAGTGCTATATCAGGTAGGCATATCGAACGTTTTTTAAATTACCTCTTGGAAACAACAAAATTTGAGAGTGCACCTTAGGATCTAGGCAGTAAGTTTTTGTTTCTCTGTGTAGCTGCTGATTTTAAATTCCAGCATGGTATCTTTATCACTGTTCCTCCCATCTCCACCTCCTCAATTTTATCTTCAATTAGTTGGTAGTATTTAAGCACACTCAGACTTTAACCATAAATTGTCACTAATGTTGTACGCATAATGTCAGATTACTTTTTTGCTTTGCTTGAAGTGCTAAATGAATTTTCACACTTTCGACCTTTATTCTAGAGCCATGTTTTCTAACTAATAACATGTATCTGTTAGATGGTTATCAGAAAGTAAATGAAAATTTTAAAGTGTTTTTTAAAATCACAAAGTACATATATACTCTTTGTAGTATTCAGACAGTATAGTAAATAGTTTACCAGTGGTGGTCTGAATTGGTATGTAGTTTTTTTTTTTCCCTAGACCCACAACACATATTATCTTGTAT